AAAAAAAAAAAAAACATAAACCCAATAACTTCCCTTTCTACTTTTCAATTCCAAATTGGTTCGAGACCTTTAATTACATAAATATAATAGTTCAAAATCAAACTCAATTATATGTTACTAGATATTTTTTATTGAAAGCAACTAATATGCATTTCTCCCTTATAAAAATACTTTATATTAAATTTCTCATCAATTATTTTAAAATTTCACTTTAATTATCACATAATGTGACTTTTGCATCTACACATTATTAAAGTTCAAACCAATATGCCCAAATATAATATGACTTTTACTTTAATTAAATAATATGTTTCACATATACACATTATATTATATTCAAAGTAGACTTTGCAAATTGATTCTTATTTGTTCCATTATTCTTGAACTAAGGGTGTAATGATTAAAAAGTAAATAATCTTGAATAAACATATTTCTTAATAATGATTACTAAAATACCAAGAATTATAAATGCCTTCAAACTGTAATGTACATACAATTGATGTGAATGTAGAATAACAATTATAAGTAAAAATACCTATAAGGAACCTAAATATAAAGAAAAAGACTCTATGAAACCTAAAAATGTTTTGATAGACTTTTTATCAAAAGTCTACAATATATATTAAAAAATTATAAAAATGATAAAGTAGGGACCCTTAGAGACTTTCAATATATCCATTAAAAAAATTAAACAATTCTAATAGATACACAACAAAGGAGGAGAGAGAGATTGTGATAAAAATGGCAAATGATATAATGTGAGAGAATAAACTAAGAGATAAGTCTAAAAAAAAATAATTAAAGGTGAAGTATAAGAAAGTAGAAAAGCATAATGAGAATAATGCTAATTAGTTATATCTTTTATGTTTTGAATAAAAACCTTCTAATACAACTATTCGAGAAAAATAAGACAAATTGGATTGAAAAAGAACATACAATAGTAATAGTTATAGATGCAAAAATAAAATAAATTAATAAAGATTTGATAAACTGCTCTATTATATTTATCTTTAAACCTTTTAATTGATATGAAAGTTAAATATCTAATTATAATAAATTAATATTTGTTTGAAATGGTTTTCATATTCATTAAGTAAAAATTAATTTTAATTATGAATCAATATTATTATATTTACTAATTATTAAAAATATGTAGCACAAACGAATTGTGTGTAGCACGGTTAGTTTTAGAGCCGAGTTACCTCTAATATTAAGTAATTAACTGACTTAACTCATAAATTTAACTTATTAATTATCTTTATTTAAATGAATTAACCAACTTTTGATAATTCATTATCTTTTGTTAAACAAAATTTTTTTTTTGAAAATTTTTCTTTCTTAGTTCATCATCTTCTCTGACTACTCATATGTTTTCAAGTGTAACTTCAACAATTTTTGAGAAATTTCAAAAAAAAAAAAACAAAAAAACAAAAAAACAAACAACAATTCATGAATAAAATTTGCTTTTCATCCCCAAATTTTCTCTGCAACCAAACAATAAATCATACATCAAAATAATTATAAAAATACCAACGACATATTGGTTAAAATAGAAAGATATTGATTTTCCTTAAGTAAAATCTTAAATTCGAGCCTTGTAAATGTAGAAATAGGCATTAAAAGAGTTTTTTCTCTTATGAGATTCGACACAAGTCGACCATGAATAAGTCAGAGTTTAATGTGACTTTTAAGTATTGAAGGTTAGTACCAAAAAAAAAAATTAATTGTAAAAATTCTAATAAAATTTATAGAAATTCTTCTTCTTCTTCTTCTTCTTCTTCTTCTTCTTTCTCATTTCTCTTTTCTCCATCCTCTATTCTCTATCCTCTATCCTCTATCCAAGAACCCAATTGAACATATTAGGGAGGAGGGAAAAGAAGGAAGAAGAGGATGAATAAAGAGGCGAACTAGCAGCTGGACTGATATCCTTACTAAACCTTTGAAGTATGAAGCTTTTGTCAAGTTGAAGGGTATGATGGGAATATCTGCTCTATCGAATCAGTATTAAGGTGGGGATGTTGGAGTTAATCCCAATTCTAAAGCTAATTGTTTTGGATGAGTCCTAGTTAGTGGAGTTTATGTGTCTTACTATTGTGGTTGCTGATAGCCACGTTTCCTTGTTTTTAGGTTTTGGTTTGTAATGGATAGAGAATAGGAGTTTTTGGTTTGTCCGCCTATTATAAATAGGCAGTTGTTATTCAGTTTAATGTGTGTAATCATCTTTATTTATTTCCAACAATAGAAGTGCCTTTTTCTTCCTTTGTTTTGTTGTTTTTGCTTTTATCTCTTTTATTACTTCAATTGGTATCAGAGCCTTACACAATGAATGGCTTGAATTAGATTTAAATTCCTATATTGGATGGGAAGAATTACAACAGGTGGAATGTCCAAATGAGGGTGCTTTTCGATTACCATGAGTTGCTAGGTGTGGTGGAGATTGGAGTTGCTGAACTTGCAGAAAATGCAAATGATGCCCAAAAGCATGCCCATCGTGAGAGCAAGAAAAAGGATAAGAAGGCATTATATTTCATCCATCAAGGGGTGAATGATGAAGTGTTTGAGAAGATTGAAGATGCAACTACGTCAAAGCAAGCATGGGATATCCTAATGACAACATTCAAAGGTGTAGAGCAGGTTACGAAGGTAAAACTCCAAACCTTAAAACGCCAATATGAGCTCCTACGAACGGAGTCTTTTGAAACTACTGCCACTTATGTTAGTCGAGTTCTTGCTTTGACAAATAAAATCAAAATTTATGGAGAAGAGTACACAAAGTAGACTAAAATGGAGAAAATCTTGCGGACACTTACACCAAAATTTGAGCACATTGCGGCAGCAATAGAAGAAGCCCATGATTTGTCCCAAATGACTGTTGAAGAGTTGTCAGGCTCATTAGAAGCACATGAGCAGAGAATGAATGAGAAACGGACAGAGAAGTCGATTGAGCAAGCCTTCCAAAGCCAAGTTTCCATCAAAGGTGATCAAGGTGGTGAAACAAGTCAAAAGCATGGTGGGTCTCATGGTAGAGGATGAGGACGTGGTCTTTACTTCAACAAAGGTTGTGGTGATCATAACAACAATTATGGAGTAGGTGATGATGACCAAGAAAAATCAAACTTTGGCCATCGACAGAATACAAGAGGTCGTGGTTGTGGATGTGGTAGAGGAAGGTATGACAAATCTCATGTTGAGTGTTATTCTTGTCATAAACATGGTCATTATTCAAGTGAATGCAGATATAAGGAGAATGATCAAAAGGCTCATTATGTACAAGAGGAAGATGACAGTGAAGATCATGCTCTTTTGATGGTTACATCAACAAATGAGGCATCAAACTATCACACATGGTTTCTTGACACTGGATGTACTAATTATATGTGTGGTAAGAAGGAGTTCTTTATTGATCTCAATGAGTCGTATTGATCCAAGGTCAAATTTGCAGATGAAAGTACTGTACTAATGATGGGAAAAGGGAGAATTCTCATCAAGCTGAAGAATGGAGATCATAATTATATTTTAGACATGTTCTATGTGTCGGATATGAAGAGTAATCTGCTTAGCTTGGGTCAATTGCTGGAAAAAGGTTATAATATACTCCTACGTGATAATCAACTCTCCATTTTTGATGTAAAAGGTACACTTATTCTTAAAGCTCCCTTATCAAAGAATCATATGTTTCGAGTTGACATTGCCAGTGACGTTTACACTTGCCTTAGTGCTGTTTTAAAAGATGATTCTTGGTTACGGCATCTTCGTCTTGGTCATGGCATCTTCGTCTTGGTCATCTAAACTTTCGTAGTTTGAAGTTGCTTGCTCAAGAGAATATGGTGAAGGGCTTGCCTAGCATAAATCATCCAGAGCAATTGTGTGAGGCTTGTACTCTTGGAAAACACAGCAGGTTAGCATTTGTGGTTGGAAAGAATTGGAGAGCAAGAAAGCCATTGGAACTTGTTCATTCTGATGTCTGTGACCCAATGAGTGTTACATCAACTAGTAATAATAGGTATTTTCTTACCTTCATTGATGATTTTACTAGAAAATTATGGGTTTATCTTCTACAAAAGAAGTCTGAAGTTTTGAGTTGTTTTAAGAAGTTTAAGGCTCATGTTGAAAGACAAAGTGGCCATTGTATCCAAACCTTACGAACTGATGGTGGGGGTGAATATACCTCCAATGAATTTCATGAGCATTGTGGAGAACAGGGTATACAACATCAAGTTACATGTCCTTACACTCCACAGCACAATGGAGTTGCAGAGAGGAAGAACAAAACCATAATGGACATGATGAGAAGCATTTTAAAGGTCGAGGGAATGCCAAACTCTTTTTGGGGTGAAGTGGTTTCTTGTTTTGTTTATTTGTTAAATAGGTCCCCAACAAGGAGTCTTCAAAATATTACTCTTGTAGAAGCATGGAGTGGTTTCAAGCCAAGTGTGAAGCATCTTAAGGTGTTTGGCTCTATTGCGTTTGCTCATGTGCCAGCATAAACAAGGACGAAGCTAGATGATCGTGGAGAGAAGACCATCTTTGTTGGCTATACTTGTGGAGGATACAAGCTGCTCAATCCTGTGACTAAAAAAGTGATTATAAGTAAGGATGTGACTTTTGCAGAAGATGAAGCTTGGAGGTGGGATTTGGATACAAAAAATGACTCCCAAAGGCGCTTTGTCACTATTTTTGAAGAAGATTCTCAACTTACAGCAACCACTACTAATGAAGAAACTATTGTACCAAGTTCTACTACACCAAAAAACCATGACACATTCTCTTGCTGAAGCTAGAAGACCAAGGAGACAAAGACAACTACCAGTTACTTTACAGGATTATGAGGAACATCCGATGATGTTATTGATGATGATGGAAATTTGGTGCACTTTGCCACGTTTGTAGATTTAGAACCTATATTTTTTGAAGAGGCCGTTCAAGATCCTAAGTGGGTGAATGCCATGCTTGAGGAGATGAAGGCAATTGAGAAGAACAACACATGGGAGCTTGCTAACTTACCACAGGGTCAAAAAGCAATTGATGTCAAATGGGTCTTCAAGACAAAGATGAAGTCCAATGGAGAGATTAAAAGGCATAGAGCAAGATTGGTGGCAAGAGGGTTTGAACAACGTCCTGGCCATGATTATAAGGAGGTGTTTTCTCCAATAGCTTGAATGGAGACCATTAGATTCATTATAGCTTAGGTTGCACAAAATCAATGGAAGATTAATCAAAATGGATGTGAAGTCAACATTCTTCAATGGTCCTCTTGAAGAGGAAGTTTTTGTCAAGCAACCACCAGGATTCATGAAAGAAGGAAGTGAAGATAAAGTGTACAGATTGAAGAAAGCACTTTACGATTTGAAGCAAGCACCACAAGCATGGAACAAGCGCATTGATTCATTCTTTGTCAAGGTTGGATTCAAGAAATGTCCTTCTGAACATGCTTTATTGTGAAGCTTAATGAATCTGGTGATATTTTGATACTCTACCTTTATGTTGATGATCTAATATTTACAGGCAACAACACCAAAATGATTGAAGACTTCAAGAGGTTTATGATGCATGAATTCAAGATGATAGATCTTGGTGTAATGTCTTACTTTCTTGGTATAAAAGTGATGCAAAGAAAAGATGGGATCTTTATCTGTCAAAAAATGTATACTTTGAACCTGTTGAAGAAGTTTCATATGCATAATTGCAATCCAGCAAGAACTCTTGTGGAGGTTGGAACTAAGTTGTTCAAGGAGGGTGAAGAAGCACGTGTTAATCCCACTTTCTTCAAGCAACTTGTTGGGAGTTTGAGGTATCTCATATGCACATGACCTGACATCTTCTATGGTGTTGGACTAATTAGCAAGTTTATGGAGTCTCCTCGTCAATCTCATTTGCGAGTTGCCAAGAGAATTATGAGGTACCTAAAGGGCACTTTTGATCATGGTCTATTTTACTCTTCATCTACCAATTGTGCTCTTGTAGGTTATTCTGACAGTGATTGGGGTGGAGACTTAGATGATCATAAAAGCACTATTGGTTATTGCTTTAATTTCGGTAGTACAGCTTGTTCATGGTCATCAAAAAAGCAGTCAATCGCTACATTTTCAACCTGTGAAGCAGAGTATGTGGCGGCTGCCTCAAGTGCATGTCAAGCAATATGGTTGCAAAGCTTGAAGAATCAAGTTCGTATCCCAATTGAAGAACCTATGAAGATCTTTGTTGATAATATTTTAGCTATTAACTTGGCAAAGAACCCAGTCCAACACAAAAGGAGCAAGCATATTGACAAACGATTTCATTATTTGTGAGACTTAATTGACAAAAGGGTGATTGAGTTAAAGTACTGCAAGTCCAAAAATCAGATTGCTAATATCCTCATTAAACCTTTGAAGTATGAAGCTTTTGTCAAGTTGAAGGGTATGATGGGGATATCTACTCTATCGAATTAGGATTAAGGTGGGGATGTTGGAGTTAATCCCGATTCTGAAGCTAATTGTTTTGAATGAGTCCTAGCTAGTGGAGTTTATGTGTCCCACTATTGTGGTTGCTGATAGCCACGTTTCCTTGTTTTTAGGTTTCAGTTTGTAGTGGCTAGAGAATAGGAGTTTTTGGTTTGCCCGCATATTATAGATA